ATCTTCTTGAACTTCCCACGCTCCTGTTGGGGGCTAAGAACACGCTTATCTCCCTGAGCCTTGCCTTCATAAGTCCATTCCATCACAATATGGCATTTCTTACATCAACAGTGATTGGAAGTTAAAATAATTTCTGATTCCTTGATTCTGTAATTACATTCAGTCATTCCAGGATTATGCAGCAGCTCAGTTTTATGTGTCTTGATTCTGAAATTATTCAGTGGAGTGTATTAGGGAACGGACTTCCGTGTTTTAGACCTTTTTAATGAAAATTTAAATGACCTCTTTTTGAGTACACTGTAGAATTTGGCTTTGGTATCAGCAGACGCACTGACTATTCCTGCACAACTGTATGGTTTTAAAACTGCAACCCTATGCAGACTCTTAACTGAAGCTATGTCACACTGAAAACATTGGTGCTTAATTTGTAGAAACATTGTGGAACTGTATTGTATGGATAAGATTCCAGTTTTACTGCCCTGAGTAAATTCATAAATATTTAGAAGCAAGTCCCACTGTGTTCAATGTGGTTATTTCATTAATAAGCATGTTTGCATACCATACTAAATAATGCTTTTTTCCTGCCCTGGACCCACTATGAATATTAACTGCTTTTAGTGTCTCTGAAAGTCAATTACTAAATAAGAAAGATATCTCATTCTTCCTAATGTTATCAACTGCTAATTCTGTCCATCTTAATGGTTTTTCATTGTCCTAAACTCTAAAAAAAGAGCTATGCTCCTTATTCTTTCTCAAAGAAAGTCTAACTTCAGTAATTTTATATTTCTTAATTTAATATTGCTGTTAATTCTTTACCCTTTTTAAAATGAAATATCTAGAGTTAAACACAGTATTCCTTGTGTAAGTGCAACAGGCAAAGCATGTCCTACTTTGCTAGAAGAGACAAAAAGGTGGAATCTAAAGTAAACTAGCATTATTTCCTTCTATTCCTACTGCACTAGTCAATGTTAAAAGATTTTTCAGGGATTAAGTGATTGAGCCAGTAAGCTACAGATATAAATTAACATCTGAACTAAATTAAGTCCAGAGAGCTTAAAAAAAAATACTGATGAGACTAAATTAGACCTCAAAGGCAGCTTCTAACTACAACGTTTTCTGAATGTGAACTTCTACAGATATTCCATTGATCGAAGCAGTGATCCTGGACGCTTCTTTTACGTGGACATCATCACAGGTGCTCTGATGACTGCAAGACCTCTGGATCGGGAAGACATTTCATGGCACAATATCAGTGTGCTGGGTGTAGAAATGAGTAAGACAATCAAATTATTTATCTGTTTGTTTGTTTGTTTAAATTTATTGACTGCCCAATTCCAATGGACTCTTATCATGTGTGTGCATGTGCATATGTGTATACATACACACACACACACACACACTCATGAAGCAGTGCCAAGTGACAGCAACATCAGGAAGAAGGAGCATGAGAACCTGGAGAAGTACCAGGGCCTGAAGGAGGAACTAGAGAGGATGTGGAAAGTCAAGCCAAAGGTAGTCCCAATGGTGGTAGGAGCACTCGGGGCTGTGACCCCTAAGCTGGGAGAATGGCTCCAACAGATCCCAGGAACAACATCCAAGCTCTCTGTCCAGAAGAGCTCAGTGCTAGGAACAGCTAAGTTGCAGCGCAGAACCCTCAAACTCCCAGGCCTCTGGTAGAGGACCCAAGACTGAGGAAGACACATACCATCCATAAGGGTGAGAGGGGAATTTTTTTTTTAATTTCTGCATAACAAGATTCTATTGGTAGGAGATCTTTATCTTTCTAGAGGGAAAACAAGTATGTTTATGCACATAGCAGAAGAAAGAAAGAAACAAGGAAAAAGTAGAATAATTTCCCTTTTATAATTCTAATGTGTAGTTTTGCTCCAATGTACATGCTTTCACCTAAACATGGCACAAACGAGTCTGAGCAACACCATATTTCTGCCATGTCTCTGGGATACAGCTTAATCTTCTTCATAGCCAATGAGTGAGACAGCTTTAAGTCATCCTTATCTGTATCGGTATTAAAGTAGTAATACTTCAATTTTGTTTTCTCCCTTATTCCAAACGCTGTCCAAGGGCAACTTCAAGGTATATAAAATCTGTTAGGCTTTGTCACGCATTACCTCAGAGAAAAATCACTGGCAGTGGTATGACTGGGAAAGAGGCAATGAAGGCAGAAGAGGGATCAACAAAGGGGACCTCACATATTATACCAACCATGGGGGGAATAGCACTTCCATTCAGCAGTGATGAAAGGTCATTAAGGGCGAGCTTCAGATTGTCACTACCACCTTCTGTTCTCTTTCCTCTGGGAACAAAATCCCCTTGCCTCCCTAAAGCACAATGAAAAGATACGTTAGCACTAACCTTAACCACAGTTAACCTTAACCTAGGCCTCACCTGATCAGGATTTAAAACCAGCCTCCCAAAACCAGCTTGCGATCATTCAACTGCAGTTAAGAAGCCAGTGTATATTTATATGCACTGCAGTGGAAACCCCATGTTGTGTCTGATGCAGATAATGAAACAAGCACTTAGTTTGTATACCCCTGGGGGCTCTGTGAAGTTTGGTTACTCAAATAGTTAACATTCAAGGGAATTATAGGGTAAGGGAGGTTTTGTCATTTTCTGAAATACAGTTCAGATAAGAATAGCTAACATATACACATTCTCTCCAGAAATTATTAGTTGCAGAACAGATGCTCTGAATATTATACAGTTTATCAGAGTAGAAAACAGCAATATCAAGGAGGATTAGCTGACTCAGGGAGTTGCTAATAAGCTCAGAGCTCTTCACTTCTAGGCCTCTGTCAAAAATTCCTTGAGCCAACAGCAAAAACAATTGTTTGTTTTAACTGGCCTGCAGAATTTTTTTTTTTTTTTTTTTT